CAGAACTCTTACTCCCTGAGGATGTGTTTTTATTTTAGTGTTTTTATTTTTCTGGGTAGCTCTTGGAAACTGGTCTTTCTTGCTCTCGGACTAAAAGCTTGGAGAACTAACTGGACTCCATGGTGTTCCTTGAAAACTGGAAAATATAAGGGCTGCAAATAATTGCTCTGGATTATTATGACAGTATTTTTTTTGTACATTTGAAACAAACAGAAGACAGTTTTCCTGTTTTTATAAAATTCAGTGGGTTCACTTTTTTTTCCCCTGTGAAATTTCAAAAGCACCCAAAATTTTATTGGACTTTCACAGATGTATGTTAAGTAATTATTGCTAATAAAAAAGAATGCATTTAAGTAGAAGATGATCAATTACATCTAATTCTACTCTTTTATATAATGTGAAGGACATTCCACAGAAGAAAATAATTTCAAATTGAGCAATCAAAATGTTCCATTCCATTTTGAAAGGGAACACGCTGACATTGAAATGCTGCACTTAAAGAAATTATCAAAATAGTTATTTATCCTAAGACACATTTGGCACAAGTCACTGTTTTCAAACCTCTTTGTAATCTTCCTAGACTTTCATTTTAGTCGCAGACTACTTATTTTAAATGTAAAACTTATCTTTAATATAAGTATGCTGGACACACAGTTTGTCCAAGTAGATAAAGATTTTCTGCTTTCCTAGGCTATGTTTTGTCTCAGTACCTTTCTCTTGCCTGACAGGGACAAACCTCTGCATTTAGTCTGGACTTGGAGTATTTATTATTCATGACAATATAGCATTGCTGGGATTCATGGTAGGGTAGAATTATGGCTTGACTGTCCATATTCCCACATCATCCTCTCTCTCCCTCCCTCCTAACCTCATTGTTAACTCTCTAGAACTCATGGGCCTGCTTCTGCAAGTGATGACTGTTTTCAGCCATGCAGGAGACACAATGGGACAACTACTACCTTGAGTAACCAGAACCTTCAATGATTACTGCAATAACTCCTTTTCAAGTATACATAGTATACATGTTTAGAACATGTCAATTCTTAGTTTCCTATTAAAGTATCTTTTCGCGGGGGGAGGGGGGGGGGGGGGGGGGGAGGGTGAGAGGGCACAAATGGGTGGGCAGGAAATAGAAAAGATCTCTTTTCCTTTTTAAAGGAAAGTATTCTGTAACAGAAATCATGACCTGCTAATAAGGATTTTAAATTATTGCTGTAAAGACAGGAACAGGGCACAAATGGGTGGGCAGGAAATAGAAAAGATCTCTTTTCCTTTTTAAAGGAAAGTATTCTGTAACAGAAATCATGACCTGCTAATAAGGATTTTAAATTATTGCTGTAAAGACAGGAACTTCGTCACAGTCTTTCTAGAAATTGATTGCTGCTACACTTTTTTACACTTGGTTTCCATAGTTTTCCTTGCTTCTTTCTCACCTGAATACAGTACCATTCTCTAAGTAATGACAAAGCATATTATTTTGAGACTCAGAACTTGTTCCCCCTGTATTATTCCTTTCCTTCCCCAGTTCCTGTTCCAGTTTCACTATCTTTTCACCTTACACTATAACTTCATGAATGCAGTCCTCACAAATTCCTCTACTTCCTTAAGGCTCCTGCAGTTTGAAGCAGCCAATGGTGACAGAGTGTTCTTTGAGCTGCAAGCACTACTGTAAGTACACAATTTGTGGTAATTGGGAATGGGGCTGTGGCTGAGCCTCATCCCTAATAGGCTACAGCTGTGAAAAGCAGGTGAGCAGCATTGAAGGTAATGAGACATGGAGTACCCAGGTGCACTGACCTATCACCAAAGGGACCAGAGGGAACACAGGGGTAATGCATGAATAGTCAGGGGTATGAAAGGTTAGGCTTAAGAAGGGCCAATGCTGGAAGACTTTTGAAGTGGTTTGGTGTTACTTTGTATGTGTTGAAGCTTGCTGAAATTGTATGTGATACTCTGTGTGTTGTGGTCGTCTCAACAGTAACATATGCTGCAACAAACTACAATCTTCTGTTTCACTTTGTCTTTTCTCTGCTTCCTTTGTCTCCCTCAACATCTCACTCTTTTCCTTTCACCAAGACTTCTCACAGCTCTTCTTTTAATAACCTGGTGTTAATGGCAGCCTCTAGATGCCAGAAGTGCAGGGCAAGAGGGAGAAAATGTCATAAGTCTGAGATATTTACTTTCATAGAAACAAAGTTAGCAATTATACTCTTATTTATTATGTGTTTTCATGAATATTCTAGTTTAGATATCCCTATTTTTTCTTTGCTGCTCCTCTTGTCTTATGTGCATTATTTTGAGTTGCTAGAGTACTAAGTACTGAAATGTCTTTGCAGGTAAAATTGAAATACATCTGCTCTCTGCCTCCCTTTTACTTCTGAAATGGTATGCAAAGAAAGAAAGGGGAAAAGGCAATGGACTTTACATCAGCTGCATTTTGTCCTGCTTTATTTTCTGCTCTGCTTTCAAAAGCCTGGATACTGGGGTGCATTAAGCACAGCATCACCTGCTGAGCAAAGGAGGTGGTTATCCCACTCGGCTCTGCACTGGGGCAACCTCAGTTTGAGTATTGTGTGCAGTTTTAGGCACCACAATATAAGAAAGCTATTGAACTATTAGAGAGCACCCAAAGGATGGCCACAAGGAAGGTGAAGGGTCTGGAGGGGAAGACTTAGGAGGAGCAGCTGAGGTCAATTGGTCTGCTCAGCCTGGAGGAGACTGAGGAGAGACCTCACCACAGTCCACAACTTCCTCATGAGAGGAAGGTCAGGTACACATCTCTTCTCCTGGTGATGAGTGACAGGACTCAAAAATGGTATGAAGCTGAGTCAGGGGAGCTTTATGATGGGTAGCAGGAAAAGAATTTTCACCCAGAAGGTGATTAAGGACTGGAATAACCTCCCCGAGGAAGTGGTCACAGCACCAGCCTGTCTGAGATAAAAAAGCACTTGGGCAAGACAGGAACATGGTGTGACACTTGGGCTGTCTGGCACAGGGTCAGGAGTTAGAATACACTGAGTTGGAAGGCACTCATGTGGATGACCAAGTCCATGATTCTATGACTCAGAAGCTATAACCATCAGAGACTAGGAAAATGGGAATCCTAATTTTAATTCTAAAAGTAAAGTTTTAATGATAAAAGTTTTTGTGGAGTTTTTTTGTGTGTTTTTTTTTAAATTTTATTTTTTTTAGTTCAGTGTACCTATCTTTTAAGATAACTAAGTTTTTTCAAGTATTAACTGCATTTGTCACTCCTCCTTTCCTATCATTTCCCTTCTATGCTCGCTGTAGCTGTTTTTGTCTGCCTCAGTAAGTAGTAGTAAGTAGATAAGAGAAACACGGATGAAAATACAAGGTGAGAACTCCCTGATTCTTTTTTGGAAACAAAAATAGTACATTTCATTTTTGATGGTGATGGAACACATGTTGTCAGAGATTCTTCATTCTCAAATAATCTTTCTAGTGACAATGCACACTAAAGCACAACAGCTAGACATACTAGGAATGATACATTGTAAAGCATCATGGATTGACAAAATGCTGAACAGTAGCAGTCCATGATGAGGTGCCTCCAAGTATTTCTGAAGAATGCAGGAGCTTCCATTAAGTTAATAACTGTTCTAATCTTGCAGTGACAGAAAATTGAGCTAAATCCTTACCTTTGTACTTCTATGCCACCCTACTGATATGTTTGTAGCATTCCACTTTGCTGCAGCAGTTGTAGTGTTTGTCCACTCTGAGATGTGATGAGTTCATTGAAATTTAAGTCAATCAGGGAATAAGACAACGTAAAGCAAGCAACTTTTTTGAGTTTTGTTTATTAATTTGTTTTTTGGGGTTTTTCTGTATCTGTTTCAAGATTACGGTGTTCTTTTAGAGATAGAGCCTTACCCCAACTATTGAACAAAACACAAAAGGCAACATTAGCAACTGCAACAAAATCACAGACAGCAATGAAGAACTTACAGAGAAGTGCAATATCACACTGCAGATAACATAAATTACAGGTGCTGCTAATTGTGTGACATTCACTTAGGTGATAAATAGTGAACAACTTTACATCTGCCAGAATTCCTGTGTTCTCAAACACATAAGAACTTTTGATTTCATATCCAGTTCCAAATGTTTTAGATTAGTGTAATGGGTTGACCCAGGGTGGATGTCAGCTACCTACTGAAGTCACACTATCACTCCTCTTTGTAACGGGACTGAGGGAAAATGTAACAAAAGGTTCATGTGTTGAGATAAGATCCATGAGAGATCACTCACCAAAAACCATCACAGGCAAAACAGACTTGAATTTAGGATATTAATAGAATTTATTGCTAACAAAATCAAAGGAGGATAATGAGAAGTAAAATAAATCTTAAAAACACCTTCTCCTCACCCCTCCCTCCTTCTTCTTTACCTCCTCCCCCAGTGGCACCCCAGGAAGGTGGGAAATGGGAGCTATGGTTGGCTCATCACAGGTTGTTACTGCTGCTGCCCATGGAGAAGAGTCCTTCTCCTCTAGCACGGGGTCCCTCCCAGCAGAGACAGTCCTCCACGGACTTCTTCAACTTAAGTCTATCCCATAGACAAGAGTTCTTCACAAACTTCTGCAATGTGGTCACTCTTCCAGAGATGCAGTCCTTCAAGGACAGGCTGCTCCAGTGTGGGTTCCTTATTTGATCACAAGTCCTACCAGGAAACCTGCTGCAATGTGAACTTCTCTCTCCATAGGTCTGCAGGACCCTGCCAGGAGCCTTCTCAGCATCCCCCAGGTTCATAGCCCACTCTCAGGCATCCATCTGCTCTGGCATGGTCTCCACCAAGGGCTACAGGGGGATCTCTGCTTCCCCATGAATCTTCATGGGCTGCATGGGCACATACAGCATCTCTTCCCTCTCCTTCTCCACTGAGCTTAGTGTCTGCAGGGCTCTTCCTCTCACACATTCTCATTCCACTCTTCTCTGGATCAAATTACAACTGCACGACTTTTTTTTTTTTTTTTTTTTTCCCTTAAATATGTTGTTACAGAATTGTTACCACCATTTCTAGTTGGCCCAGCCTTGGGCAGTGGTATGTCCATTCCAGATCCTTCTGTCAAGTTTCTCACAGAAGTCACCCTGTAGCCTTCTCACTACCAAAACCTGGCCATGCAAACCCAAAATTCAACTAACATTCAAAATGGTGCTACACAAAATGTATGCCATCAGGCTAATATACTTAGTCTTGCAACAGAATTGCTACAATAGAACTTTAAGCTGAACATTCAGATATTGTTTCTGCACAATAGCTATGACCTTCAAATTATTTTTATGGGAATAGTGGCCCCTATGGCTTTCCTGAGCTGAACACTATGGGCCTGCTGTAAGCCTCTGCCATGACATAGAATTTAAACCTCACAATTCAATCCCCACAATGGACTCCATCAGTTGCATCCTGTATCCCACAGTTAGTTTCCTCAGTTGCAGCCTGAAATTCTCTTCTGTTTCTCAGTGACATATAAGCTGTGATACCTATTTTTAACAACTATTTGTTTCTAATTCCTTCACACAATTTTTACTCTTACAGTACAGCAGTCTACTCCATAAAAAAAAAAAAAGCTTGAATGCATTATTGCAGCACATATGTATTCCTGTTACTTTTTCTGTAGAAAGCTGAAGATATTTTTTTTCCTCATCCATCTACTAAAGTTAGAATAATATACTTGCTAACATGTTAAAATAACTGTGAAAAGTAGATTGAGTTGTCATGCAGTTTGGCCTTTCAGTTGGTCATGAACCATTGGTGTGATTCAGGCAGGTGTATCTGAACAGTGAGTCAGAGAAGTCCAAAGATTTCCACATAGTCTTTTATGAACGGATTTAAAGAAGGTGAAGATCTGGATCAGCGCATGAAATCACCAACCATGAGGTATATTTCTCATGTATTCTTACACCTTTATTCTTCTTTGCAAAGTGTGCTGTCAGTATTTGCATATGCAGAGTCATTCTTTGTCTAATGACAACTCATCTGAGTGTATATATATATAAAAATATATATGTATATATATACACACACACACATATATATATATATACATGAACCTGTGGGGTAAAGTAGCTAAGATAGAATCAGCATGATTTTATTTTAGACAGTGAAAAACAAAAACAAAACCCAAATTCCCTCCACCCCCATCTTACCAGTATCATCTTCACTCCTGACTCATCTACCTCCTCTCTGAGCACTTTGGCAAGGACTGGGAATAAAGGTTATGATCACATCGCACTTTTTTTTTTTGCTGCTTCTTCCTCTTCACATCCTTTCCCTGCTCCAGAATGGCATCCCACCCATGGGAGACAGTTCTCCACAAACTTTGCCAACATAAATCCTTCCCACAGGATGTCATTCTTCATGAAGCATGCCAATGTGGGCTCTTTCCATGGAGTAGAGCCCTTCAGGAATAGACTGTTCCAGTGTGAGTCCTCCCTGGGCTCCCAGGTCCTGTATGAAAACCTTCTCTGGTGTGAGATCTCCATGGGATCACCATGTCCTTTGGGCACACACATCTGCTCCAGTGGGTGATCGTCCATGGGCTGCAGTTGGGTTTCTGCTCCACCATGGTCCTCCATGGGTGGCAGGTGAACAGCCTGCTTCATGGGCTGCTCCATGAGCTGCAGGGGAATATCTGCTCTGACTCCTGTAGCATCTCTTCCCAAACTTCCCTGATCTTGGTATTGGCAGAATGATTTCTCTCAAATTTTATCACTGCTCTCCCCTGTTTTTTACCCTTTCTAAGTACTATCCCAACACAATTGCAGTACTATTGATGGGCTCATCTTTTGCCAGCAGTGGTGCTGTCTTGGATGGAACTTTGACATGGGAGCAGCTTCTTGTGTCTTTTCACAAAAGCCACTCTTGTAGCCTCTGCACTACCAAAAACCTTGCCATGGCTATTATATATATTTAGCAAAAATAGTTCCTACACTTAAGTCAAAACAACATCATAACACCAACAAAGAGTGACTAGTTGCACTCATTTTACCCCTTGCCTCTTCATCATAATCACACACAAGCACAGAAAAAAACAGTTATTCTGTCACTCAAAATGGTTGATCCATACTGCGCTGTTACCATTCTCAATTACTGTCCTCCTCTCAAATTTTCAAGTGCCCTACCTCAGTCACCAAAAAGGACTGTGGTGGGCTCCTCTTGGATTACCACCCACCAGGTGTCCATAAATCCACTTTGTGACTTCTCTCTTCTGCAGGACAGGAGGAAAACAAAGAAAAACAAAAAGAAACATTTGTGCATCAAAATAAAGTCAGTTTAATGAAGAAAGGACACATGTGGAAGCAAAGGAAAACAAAAATATGGATTCTCTACTTGCCAGCAGCAGTTGATGCCGAGTCACTTCTTGGGAAGTAGGGCGTCAGGATGTGTAGCCGTTGCTTTTGAATATGAATACCTTAACTACAAATACCTCCCTCTTCCTCTTTTCATTTCGCTTAGATTTGTTTCAGAAAACAACACCACATGACATGGAATAACCTTTTGGTCTGTTTGGGTAAGTAATCCTGGCTATGTCTCCTCCCAAGCTCTTGCTCACCCCCAGCCTCCTGGCTTTTGAAGCAGGGGTGAGGAGTGACAGGAGAGATAACCTTGATGCTGTATGAGCACTGCTCATACACTCACATTCACTTGTACACTGCTCTCACTCCTCTGAAGCAGAGGTGTGATATCACTACCATCCTGGCTACACTGCACAGCACTATAAGCATTGCTGTGGGGGAAACTAATTCCATCCCAGCCCTAACCTGTGTGCCAGCAGTCAGGTTACATCAAAGAGAAATTTTTATGTAAGCACTTGTCTAGTCTTCCTATTCAGAAGAGACATTATTCTGAAAAGGAGTTGAATCTGGGATGAAAGAAGCTAAAAAGAAAATTATCTGTGCCCTTGCTATTATGGCATTTGACAAGGAGAATGAAATCCTCTGTATTTCTAGGAATCCTTATATAATCCTTATATTGTATAAAATATTGAACAAAATACACATAAAATATAACATAAACCTACCAGTTTTCTGGTGCCAAGAATGGCTGTAAGGCCCCAAAACCTCCCTTGACAAGGCTCTTAAAAAGGCTTATGGTTTTTTATGTACTCTGAGTTAGATGCACAGGAGAAATACAGACAAGATATTCTCAAAAGGTCAAAACAACAAAAAACTTTATTGGCAACTTCAGAACATCAGAGAACCTTGGCAAAAGTTTAGAGCAGCATTCAGTGAACGTAAAGAATTTCACAAAGCATTAATTTGGCACATTTGACTTAGCAAACTTCAAGCCTGTCCGATTTTACATTACTCAAAACTCTCAGAAGAGGGAATTAGAAGAAGAAAGAGAGAAAAGAAATGGCAAAGAACAAGTATAGTTACAACTCCTGGTTCTAGCGGTGTTTTACTGACAGAAATTCTATGAGGAGGTGGGATAAAGACGTGCTTACTTCATGCTTTGGCTTAAGTACCCTCTGGCTTTCCTGGGCCCTGCCCCCAGGGGGGACTTTGGTCATTTGGCCACTCAGGAGCTGGGATAGGAGCTCCAGGGACAGGTGTGGAGCATTGCCTCTGCTGTGCCAGGGATTGGTGGCCACTGCAGTGATGGGGTACAGGTCTGGAGAGGTGGGGTGTGCAGAACAGAGCATCGCCTCGCCAGGGCATGGCCCGACCTGCCCTTTCTCCCACAAATGTACCCAAAATATTTTGAGCCAGCAATCCTTACTCCTTTTACTAAAGTTTCCAAAATAATAAGTTGACCTCATAGCAAAGAGTTAATTACTTTAAATATTTGTTAAAATCTTTAAAATGTTTAAATCATTTGAGAGGGAGCATATTTTTACAAAATCTACTTCTAACATTAAAATATTCCCCCCTATGTTTATATTTCTAGTGCAAAACCACTTGCAATTAGAACAAAAAATTAATAACATGTATTAATGAAATCACAAGCTTTGATTTCTTGTTCTAGCAGACAAGGCACTTCAGATTTTAGTCTGGTACATCTCAGTGGCAGTTCTAATATTACAATCAAGCTCTGTAATGAGCCTTCTTGAGTGAAAGAGAATCAGTTACAGGTCCTTTCTCTGATTAATATTTGAAATACTGATTGGGTATGAGGTATTGAGTTTTTAAAAGTACCTACAAGTACTATAGAGATACCTAACCATTTGTATGATAATAATCTAATCATTCATTCATTTCATCTTCCTAATAATATTCCATTTCTCTTTCTTACCTCCTGTTATTGGAATTTTGAGCAGTCTGCATAGAGAATTTCCAACTATATCCTGCAGTTTTCTTTTGGAGTCTTTACCACTTCAAAGACACCACCAGTCATAAAAGATTTCACCACCATCTTTTCTTTTTTTTTCAATATCATTATTTTCAGAAATATGTCTTATAATTAAGACACTAATTAAGTGTCTTTCATTTCTGGAAGTTTCTCTCCTTCCACCATCTATCCAGTGTCTATACAATGACTAGCCTCTTCTCCATTAAGCTGTTTGATATGATAATCATGTCTTCGTAGAGCAAAAGTTGGTTTTAGACTTTCATGAAATCACGGAAGGAGTATTAATCAGTAACCTTAATTAATTATAAATATTGGGCTATTCATGTCTTCTTCCTGCTTACACTCAATTATATCTCTGCACAAATTCATGACCATTTTTCAATTTATTTCTTGGTTCCTTTTGATTTATCACTATTATTCTGTTTGCAACAGTCATAGGATCCTCAGTAGTATTTTTAGCTGTGGATTTTCACTGTATGGTAACAAAATGCTGTATGCAAAACAATTTATCATTACTAGTTTTATGAGGAACATTACTGTTTGTGTAGTGTAGGCCTGACTGCAGATTCATAGACAAATGTCCAGCAAACTGTCCTCTCTTATTCTCTTTTAGTTTTTATGTTCTTCACGTTTTATCTTTAGATTGAATACCAATGCTTCAAATAAAGATACAATATCATTCAGGAATTTTTCTCCCTATTGTAATAAGTAATTCTTTTGAATTTGTGGGTTTGCATTATTTTTCTGTCTTAGCTTATCTCTAAATTTAGAAAATAACAAATAAACAAAAAAAAATCCCTCTTTGTTTTCCTAATTTATTTTCCTAAAATCCAGTATGCTAAATAATCCTAAAAAAGCAGATATTCCCTTACTAACCCAACAGATGAATTTTTTAGTTAGATACATCTATATTTATGTTTTCTTTACAGTCATGTATTTTTGAATTCCCTTGACAGCACAATACCAAATCTTGTGTGTTAAGATTATTATATTTTTTCAAACCTAAATTCCCCAGTTTTGTAATTATATTCAAAATGGTGCATTGTATTTGAAATTATGCTTAATTTAAAAAATCACAGAGATTTACCATGTCATAGCATCCAGCAAAGCAGGTTATTTATACTCAGGTTGACTGAAAATGTAAAGGATATTCCTCCTTTCTCAAATTTGAAGTCTTTTTCATTCCCTTTTAAAAATAACAGAGCAAAATAATCCAGCAGACATTATCTGATTCATACATAATACTGATTTTGCTTTTCTCTCTGGTAAATAATCAGCAATCAACTTTCAATTCTAACTCAAAATGTCCAGGTTATATAATTTTTTCCTAATTTGTTTTGTCATTGCTTTGGATATATAAATATATGTCTTCCAGTAAATATTTTTAGGATGAAAATATCTCAGTAAATTTTCCTGCCTGTCTGAGCATTCTTAAGGAACAGTTTTGCTATTAATTTTATCTTCGTATGGTTTTTAAAGCAGAAAATCTGTTAATGCTTTCATTCAAGATTGATTGAGTGTTTAGTTCCAGAAAAGTTTAGGTGAAAAACTGGACTTTATATTTTGGTTTTGCTTCTATCTGCTTTAGTCATTGCTTTTCAGTTCAGAACCTATAATATACTCAGTGATGCCTTTCAAATGCAAAAGAAAGGATATAAAAATGGAAAATTGTTACAATATTTATTATTTTCACGACATTCAGGCTTTGTATGGTTCACTGTCAAAAAGAAGACAATAACGTGAGAAATGCCTGAAGCAAATATTCCTTTAAGGCAGCCTAAGGCTCTGCTCTACCTGGAAAACCAGTGAATGCCTGAGAGGCAGGAAATACAATACTGGATTTTCATCATTAATGCACTTCAAATTTTCATATTGTCTAACATTGTATGACAAAAGAAAATATGCTTTTACTGTAAAATCCTTTCCCAAATAATTTCAAATTATTATGCATTAATTTTTAGCTTAAAATCATCTATGGTGATGTATAACACTAAATACAACAAATTGAAATAGAATGAGACATACCATGACAAATGTTACCTAGTTTCACATTTGCAAGACAGCTCTGGCTTCCAAGTGCTAAACTTACCTGTGAGGTACTATCAGCAAAATTTCAATTGCTCCATGAGTCAAAGGCACACTGTCTTCAAAATGCCAGCTATTTTTTCTTAAACTACAGGAGGTATCTAATTGCTATTTGCAAGTTAAAAACAGTGGCCTGACTTCATTCCCTCCTTTCTTTCAAAACAGCTTAAAAAAAGAAAGCTTAATTAAATGCTAATATAAAATGTTAAATGTTAGTAAAGTTAAGATCAACTCAAAGTTTCATTTCCCTAAAAATCATTGTGATTGTTGAGATGGTGCCTGTCGTTCTATAAAAGTTCCTTGGAAAGTATCAAAACAAATCCACTACAATGTGAAAGAAGACCACCAAAAGAACTGGCAGGAAGCATTTTACCTCAAAGAGCAGGGGATCTGCAGATTGGCTTAAGGTTTATAAATGAAGTGAAAATAAGAAGGATCCTAGACCAGCTCACATATTTAGTAATAAACAGTACAGTCTGAGACCACCTATATAGAATGGGAACAAAGCAACTCTACCAGCAGATTCACTGTGTTGGGTTGGAGATCCTATTTCTGTCTGTCAAGATTCCCAACAAAGAAAGCATGTAGATTGTAAATGATGTGGGTCCTAAAAGCTCACTGTAATTTTAGATGATACAGTGTTAAGGAAATTTCTCTGCCTGACCATCCAGAAGCCACTCTGGCTGTCACACTCACACCACCTGAGACTTTCAGTGCTGGAACTGTGACCATGGCAGATTCAGAGAGATGACAAGCGTCCATCATGATGTCCTACACACCCCATTCTCACACAGTCAGACCAGGTTTCCGTACTGGCTCAACGCACGGATTTCCACAGCAGAATCTCAGACATCTGGATCCCTAAAATAATTTAATCATGGTGCAATCACAGAATAGCAGGCCAAGCTGGTGCCTCTGAGGACAGACCCTGAACAAAGGACTCCTGGGTTTTCATACCCTCACAGTCGGTGCATGGTAAAGTCTGGGGTTTCCAGCTGAGTGTCCCTGAGTTCCCGGTCACCTGGCTGGGCCACAGGCCCCTGTGCCCTCTGTTCTGCACAGGGTCAGCAGTTCACAGCCTCTTGGCTGGGGCTCCAACACCCAGAGCTCAACCTGCACCTTGAACTGCAGCTGCACCCCGACCTACCGGCACTGAATGTATTCCTCAATAGTTGCAAAAACCTTAATTGAATAATTATGAAACAACATTACCAAAAGCAGAAGAGACCTCTGAGTTTCATCTGTTTCAGAGTAAAACCACTTTCAACTAATAGTTAATAATAGTATATCACTACTGTGAAAGTGTAAAAAGGGAAAGGCCCTGTCTTGATCACTGTCAGGTAGAGAACAGTTTACATTTGGACATAAGGAGGAGTTTGTTCTTTCTACAATCAAGGAGACTTACCAAATTCAAAATCAGTTATTTCTGATTCAAAATCAAATTTCTTTCCAAGGTAATGAAAATGTGTACTTTTGGTTCAGTTTCAGGAAAAAATGGAGAAATTATTTGGTAGAACCCAACATAAAGGCTCAGAAACAGGGATTAATGTAACTTAATGAAGCACATGATACTGACAAGATACAGAAAAATGCAGCCACAGTACAGTGAAAAGCCATACCACTGCAGTTCCAAGCTTGTTCCAAATTTCTAAACAGTAAAAGTAAAATAGACAAATAGATTTTGTTTTTGAGAATATTAGTTTATCCAGTATATTTCAACACTACATATTTTCATAGGAAAATATATACCATTATTTATCCCAGAGGAGTACATATATAATTATTTAATACACAAGGAAAATTGTTTTCCTCTTCTCCATTTCGTGCTCCAATTCTTAAAAATTATCTATTCACAGTCTTTCAAGAGGAAAACAATAGGCTGAGCCCAGAGCCCCTTGCTGCTCTGAGGCTGGGCATCTCTGTGTCAAACACACAACCTTTATCTCTTGTTTAGCAAATGAAATAGCAAGCCTGGTTGTGCTAATGTGGACAAGTTGCAGCTATAAACTATCCTGTATTAACAAATAAATTTATTTTTTGAAATTGACATGTATGGTCACTTGATTTTAGTCCACTTCATATTTGCTATAACCTGTTACTGTTGGGCTATTGATTCAATAGTTTGATCCAGTAGCACAATGTCTGTACAAGTTTACACAGTTAGTGGAACTTTCCAGTTCCCCAAAGTATTATCAATACTACTGCAACATTTTCATCAGATTTTATCAGTATTCTAAGAACAAAACATCTGATTTGGCAGCACATCTCTTCCATGCACTTGGTTGTTGATATTGACTATGCCACCATCTGAAGCTACTTTGAATACTCTAGTTTCCCCTCTTCTAAACAATCTCCCTTTTGAAAAAGAAAAGAACAAGAACAAGAAACAAGGAAGATGATAACACTTTATCTGTGCTGCATAGCTTCGAAACTGACACACCAGAAGGGTTTTTAAAATTCACAGTAATTAGAACTTTCATTCAAAGTATAGGCCAGTGAGAGCTGAATCAAAACCCAGTTTAACATCTGTGAAAAAAAAAAACAAACAAAACAACCAAAAACTCAAAAAAAGAAGCATCAGTCACCAATTGCAAATAACACTTCAAAGCAATAAAATATTCCTTTACTTACAAGAAATTTCCAGACTGTCAGCTGAGAGCAAGGAGCTTATATGAGCTGTTCTATCAAGGAAACAAGTGCATGTATTCCAGTTCAGAAGGAAAAATTCTTTTCAAATATAAATACATGCCTTGTAAATTGGGAAAATTAATCACAAGACTAATATTGCAAGAAAGGGAAATTAACAGTACTTTAAAAAACTGATTTTTGCTTGTATTGAGTGTTATTCCTTGACAACTTAAATTAAACAGTAATTTTGTGGAAGTGTTTACCTTTCTCCATTATTACAGATGGAATTTAAAGTTTTAACTTAGATGTATAACAGAAATAAAGATAGTCAGAGTGAGTCTGCCATCTCATATATATGAGAGATAGAATCTAATTCAAATCTATAGAAATTATTTTAAATTTATTTCCATGTTTATGGTTGTCTGTAAATTTTTGTGTGTATGTATAAAATGTTAAGAGTAGGAATGATTCATAAACTAGGGAAAAAAAAGCTAAACATATAGTCAAAGTTGGGCAGTCTGAGCTGGGACATGGGACAAAAACCCAAACAAAAAATAACATTAAAAAATTGGATAAAGAAAAATAAAACCTACCAGACTGGATAAAGAAAAATAAAACCTACCAGACTAATGTTCTCAGATCTGCTAATGGAAATATTCAAGGACATAGAAGGAAATGAAAGCAGGTAAAAAGCTCTTGGAAATCTATGAAGTGAAAATGTAAATCAATGAACCCCGAAGAAGTGATAAGATCTTTTATACTTGTGTTTCAAAAAAAAAAATCTTTAAAATATTAATGAATAAATATACTGATCTTGTAGTTTTGAGGATAAAGTACAAGCAGCAGCTATTGCACTGTTAAGAGTTGTAGGCATTTTGGATAAATTATTAAGATTTTATAAATTAAATCTTAGATTCATCATGACAAGCATGTTTTGCCATTTCAATTCTTTTAACTTCCCACATAATTTAAAAGAATACAGAAAATGATCACATCTACTTACGTGAGAGGATCTGCTAACCTTGTTTTGCTGAGCCTGAGGGGTAACTGAATGCCCATCTCATTTTCTCAGAAGAGGTTTGGCTGTAGTTCAGCCCAGTCATGAACATAATGTCACCCACGTTAAGGTTATTTTTGTGCTTTTGCTCATAGCCTATAGGCTTATTCTGGCAGCAAGAGATCTTTGACTAACCCCATTTATGAGGGAACCTTCTCTGGGCACAAGCCCAAAATATACACCATTACAGCAGTTCCATAGGGAATCCTCAGGAACTTAATGAATCAGCTTTATGATTTCTTTGCACTGAACCATTACAAATCTGCTGTGGAGTATCAGTGAATCTGATCCAAGAATTAATGTTATTGACTGGCTTAGCGTGATTATTGCAGAGTTTAGCTTTAAACTAGAATTAAAGAAAAGGGTTTTTCAAACTAAAATCAGATCCAAACAAGCAAATTTACGATTTGCATGCACTCATTCAAATCATAAGACAGAATTACGTGGAACTTGCAGGAAACTTCTGTTGTTATAGGTATAAAAATAATCTTTTTTTCGGGGTTCATGCTGCTACCTTTGTATTAGAAATGGAATTTGTAAATGTTTTGAGTGTCATTACCTCCTGCTGACTTCAGTGAGAAATGGAGTTACTCAGTGCCTTAAAAGTATTTGATTTTTGTTTTTTTGCAATGTTATTAAAATTGTCAACTCAACTTAAAATATCTGCTAAAGTCATAAAACTTCTAACTGGTATATTTGTTGAATTTACCTTTGAAAGCAAAGAAGTCTGTTGTAGTTTACTTCAGCATAATTTTCTAGTCTAATCTACATTGATTAGATTATTATTTCCTTCAATTTCCTATTTTAGAAAAAAAATTTAAAAAAAAGGATAATTCCTTTATTTACTAAGCTGAAGTGTCCTTAACATTTGTACTCAAAGCTAATACTGCTGAAAGTGTACTGCATTAGCTGGTTTATTAGTTTTCCTGACAGCTTGGAGGCAGAGCCTCCCAATGTGGCATCAATACATAATGTGATCTTTTTCTGCAGAGGGTCATTCTTATTTGGAAGACGCATCACGTTATGATAAATGGCACCCACAGTATTTTAGAGAGACATATCTAAAAGGGTACAAAATGTTCAAGTGTTGGAAGAGGTGGGGTACCTACCATTTTCAATGTAATAGCTTTTTTTAAAATACATTTTCTGAGGTTTGTACTCTTTTGTGAAAATCTGTGACTTAAAAATGTCATTTTCTTGTTTTAAAATTATTTCATACATGATTATATTCACTAAAAAGAAACCATTTTAATGCACGGAGATCATATTAACCTTGACTTTCAAACAATAAAGAGGTAATTGTTTTTGAAGTAGACCTTTTAGCCTTCAGATTCTTCTTTTCAACATACCATAATATATTGTTTAATACTGTCACTCAAAAGTCAAATAATGCATTCTTTACACTTCTTAGTCTTTGTAGGGGTCAAATCCCTTTTTGTATCTGAGTCAAAGTCAGATTGCCAAACTACTTCACAGTATTTTGGAGAAAAGGAAGAAAGAGATTTATGCAAGAATTTATACTAAAAACTTTGTTGAAATAATGAATATAGTACTGAAATAAGAAACCAAAAAAAAAAAAATCTATTCTATCAGTCTTGTTGCAGTTTTGGCTTGCTCCATGTGGTGAAGGATCTAGGGCACAAGAGGTTAAGGTCTGTTTTTTCAGTTGGAGAATGGAGAGAGAAAAAATGTGAAAAAAGTGGAAAAAGGAGGAAAAGAAAAAAGGAAATAAGGAAAAGGCAAAAAAGCAAAAGAAAATACAAAAGGGAAGGGAAGGGAAGGGAAGGGAAGGGAAGGGAAGGGAAGGGGAAAGGAAGAAAAAGCTCCACTGGAGTATTTAGAGTCTTCCACTATTTAAACAGAGGTTATTCAGAAGGCAGCCATATTCTTCTACTCTTATTACAGACTTTTAGAAGAAACTGCACAGTCCAAGCTGCAGCATGGAAAATCACAGAGGCAACAGAGAAACAGTATTTAATAATAAGAGTTGCTAAACACTAATACAAGTTGTCCGAAGAGGATATGGAATCTCCATCCTAAGAAATTCTCTGGATGAAGTCCTGAACAGTTTGACACCAATTCTGAGGGTAGATCTACAACACCTCATTGGATTAGGTGACCTTCAGAGATCTATTTCAACTTACATTTTTTCTATGATTAGGTGAATGGTTGTGTTACAGTGTTTTAAGGACATAAAAAATAATTAGATTTACAAAACTGAAGTCCTCTCTTAATAGTATCTCCCAAATTGTGGCACTCTATTGACTTGGCCAAGGGTTTTGGTGATCTATAGAGAGCTTGCTGGAGTGTGTCACAGAGGCAAACTCTTTGTTGCACCTGTTTTAAATCAAATCAGGCATTAAAGTAGCTTATTGATTTGTTAATGACATCAACTGTCAAAGAGTTCAAGGTCGACAGAAGCCATACACTAGATACCAGACACTCAAAAATGTCAGTTAAGCCTCTATACATTTTTAAGCACCTTTTTATAACTAATACCAAACCATTCTAATTCCCACATACACCTACAGTTTCACACTTCACAGGGCATGAAGATGCACATCCTTCTTTCCTGTGAGCATGAGTTCCCCCACTTCTTTACACCTTTTCTGGGAGAGATGGTGGTGCCCTTGCTTTACATCCACCCAGCTCCCTACAACCTGCTAATGCACATGCCTGTGAGACAGAACACAGGCCTAGTGGGAAAGCAAAACAGAACAAAACAGTCAAATCAGTCAAAACAAGCAAACAAAACATTCCCACAGTATAAAGAATGACAATCAAACCTAAATGCCCAAAGTTGTCCTCTGATCCTGTGTGGCATCCAGCTGACACTACAAAAGCATGCAAGTCCTCACTGCATCTTGTGTCATGCCTGACAGCACAGCACTTGGATGTGTGACCCACTGCAGTGTATTTAAGTTGCTGAATCACACACCTGGTGCTTGTCACCATATTCATTCCACAGGCTTCTTTTCTGTATTGTGCTTTGACTACAACGTGGCCAAGATTGCAGGGTCCATGTGACAAATATATATCACCGACACTTAGCTCATCTGAAATGGAATCCCTGCCTAGGTTTCACTAGCAGTGTTTAACTGCTCTATGGTCAGTGAAAGAGAAGGGGCTGATATGGGGAGGGGTGGCAGGGGAAATGCTGCTTTTGATAGCAAGAGAGAAATAACTGGATATAAAAATATACCGTGCTCATTATAGCAGAGAGAATAGAGAGCTGAGCATAGAGGGTCTGATAAAGTCTCATGGGAAAATGGGGTTTATATGCACTTCAGACTGGTTTGTGCTGTTCTATACCTTGTGCAAAGAAGAAAGAAAATTCTTTCACTCTAATTTTCAGAGTGATATTTTCCTATTTCTTAATTTTACAGACATTGGAAATATATAAATGAATTATCAGCATAGCTACCCTGTTTAGTTTAAAATCTGTAAATATTAACTTTCAAACAAGCTCTAACATGGTTCATGGTGCACAGTGCCCTGTTTCACTGTGTTTAGTTGAAGCAATTAATCTTACGATAGAAAAAGCAGGTTCAGCAAATGAAGTTTTAACAAATCTGGCTTTTGCAGATCTAAGACCCTGAAGCACCTGCAGCTCCCACAGCTTGTCCCAGTGTGAAAGGCTTATCAAGCACTATCTTATTAGTACACTGGTCAGATTTATAGAATCACACTCTCTTCAGATGTCTAGGAAACTTTTTACCTCCAGGGTTTCTTGATTCTATGGGAATTTCAGGACAAAGGTCCTTTAAGACCCAAGGGTCTCTCGGTCCTTGGGGCCTGAACATTCCTCAAGAGACACAAATGGCTAATTTTGAGGATGAAGACAGTTTCAACTGCAGGAAGTCCATGAATGAGGATTATGAGAAAAAACCAGAATCAGTGCATTTTTATCATACTCTGCAATCGCATAAAAAATCAACATGATGTACAGAATCTAATGAACCAAAAATATTTTTTAAAGATTTATTGTTATTTCCTCAGCTTGCTAAACCAGCAATCTCAACAGATTTTTAGAGGTTTAAAAACACTATGCTGGTGCAGCAGATTTATGAATACACAGGAGAAACAGGTGCAAGGGATGTAGGAAGAAAGATGCTGAGATGAAATTATGTGAAACTATAGCATTGTATCTAATAATGTATTTTAGTTTAAGTCCTTGCTAAAGGATAAACCAAATTTTTGTTTTATCTTTATGGATCTTCAAGAAAACATTTAAGTAAAGTTTTCAGTCTGTTTCTTATGAAATTAAGCACAATACAGAAAACATAAATAATATCATGGATATTGTGGAAAAGGTCAAAAGATGTGGAGAAAAAAGCCCTGTGATTTCTCAGACTCTTTCTTGTTATTGTGGGGTTTTTTGGTTCCAGAATTTTTACAGGCATGATATTTACCACACAGATTCTCCTCTAGACTTCATTCAGAACTGATGTTTCAGTATCTTTAGCATAATTGTAGCACGTCATCTGTAAGACCCAGCCTCTTCACTGTTGAACAGCACATTCTCAGTGCAGATGTGCATTTTCATTGTTGCTTATAATCACTACAGAATATAGTTGTATGTTGATATTTAATATCTTCTCTACCAGAAAAAAAAAAAATCAAGCATTGGAATAGTTTCTAAGTAATCTCATCAGCATCTGGTGGAAATGAAAGCTGAAGCCTACACCACAGGCATTTTACTTAATGAACAGTATGATCTTTATAGGATTGATGCATGTTCTACCCTCCCTTCTCTGGCCTGTCTCTGCTCGAAATAGTAAGCTCAGCTATACTTCACACTATCTGTTACAATAAAACCCCAAACAAATTTATCTTCAAATCAGTAAAAAAAAAATTATAATTGATTTCACATAGTATGAGAAGTGGAGAGCTTAGAACTGATTTAAATTCTTGTCTGAGTATACAAATCCATAGTAGTGGATTAAATATTCTATGGAAGGTTTTCCT